TCTATTATTAATAGACCAAGAGAAACAGAAGTAAAATAAAGTTTTTTTTTTTACTGGCTTATATATGAGGAGGGGTTAGGCTGTATTTTAACTCAATTTTACCTCCTCTATCACACTCCCTGCTCCCTTCCCTCTAAGAACCCAACAGGTTTTGTTTTCCATTTTCACAATTGCGATTAGATTATTTTGGTAGTATTCAAATTTCTTTACTCTCCCTGCCAGGCACTCCCTGAAGTTTCCACATTGGGCCCCAAGAAAAACCTTTAGAGAACCCAGTACCAAGCAACTTCATATAAATATTTTCAAGCAGCTACACACTGGTGGCTCATACCTGTAAACCTAACTGCTCAGGAGACTGAGATCTGAGATTACGGTTCAAAGCCAGCCCAAGCAGGAAAGTCTGTGAGACTTATCTCCATTAAACTAACAAAATGCTGCAACTGGAATGGTAGATCAAAGTGGTATAGAGCTAACCTTTAGCCAAAGAAGTTCAGGGACAGTGCCCAAACGTTGAATTCAAGTCCCAGAACTAGCACCAAAAACAAAAACAAAAACAAAAAAATTCTCAAGCATATATGGGAAAGAGTAAAATAAATGACATACTAGACTACAAAATAAGTATCAATGAAGTGCAAAGAATTAATACCACAAATCAACTACCTAGCAAGCACAAACCCTGAGTTCAAACCCCAGTATCAAAAAAAATTAAAAAAGAATTAATACCATAAAATCATATGTTCAACCAATAATGCAATTAAGATAAAGAAGAATCAATCAAGTTAGCTATTCTCAAATATCTTATAATAACTCATGGATCTGTGAAAAAATTATAATTGAAATTAAAATGCTTAGAATAATGAAAATTATACATTAAGATGTAGAAGAATAGTATAAACTTTATAATCCTCATTATATTAGAAAATAAAAAGATTACCTGGGCACTGGTGGCTCATGCCTATAATCCTAGCTACTCACGAGGCTGAGATCTGAGTATCACAGTTCAAAGGCAGTTTGGGTAAGAAAGTATGAGACTCTCATCTCTAATTAACCAGCAAAAAGTCAGAAGTGGAGGTTTGGCTCAAGTGGTATAGTACCTTGAGCAAAACAGCTGAGAAACAATGACCAACCTCTGAATTTAAGACCAAGGACCTGAACACACACACACACACACACACACACACACACACACACACACACACACACACACACACACACACACACACACACACACACACACACACACACACACACACACACACACACACACACACACACACACACACACACACACACACACACACACACACACACACCCCAAAAATAAATAAAAAGAAGACAAGAAAAGGAAAAATGAACTTCAAATACATGATCCATGTTTTGGAGAATTATGACATTTTGAAAAACTGAAAAACTACACAGCTTAAAAATATTGAAGAAATTGAGAAAAAGTTAAATATTGTCAAGAACATAAAAATGTGTCTTTTTCACTTACTATCTCAAATCCCTATGCTAAGTTAAAAAAAAATCTATAATGTTACATATTAAAATTGATCAACACTCATTGAAAGCTACTGAATAATTGAAAGTAGGGGGATGGGGAAAGTGAGAGAAATTGGGAGGCTCAATACAAATATTATATATACATGTGAGAAATACCACAGTAAATCTCCTTTGAATAATTAACAAACACTAAAAAAAAGTGGGTTATTGGGAAGAGGAAGTTCTAATGGAGAAAGTGAAAGAGAGTGAATATGGTCAAAATACTTTACTTACCTGTGTAAAAATGGAATAATGAAGCTTGTTGAGACTGGCTAGAAAAGAGGGGAGAGAAATGAAGGAGAGTGATAGAGGGGATAAACCTGATCAAGATACATGGACACGTCAAAATGAAACTCCCTTGGACATGTGATTAATACTAATAAAAATGTAGAGGAATAGAATTCTACTCCATCAAAAAGAAGGATATTGTACCATTTATAAGGAAATGGAAAGATGGGATAAAATAATATTAAGTGAAATAAGCCAAACTGAAAGAAAGATAGGTTGCATGTTTTCCTTCATTTGTGATATCAAAAATGTATCTATAAATCTACAAGTAAACATACTGGATGGTTTAAAAAATATACTGGGACATGATAAAAATTATACAGGTGTCTAAGCATTCACACAGTGAGATCAAAGGAGAATATTCTTAGGAGAGGAATGAAAAGGAGCAAGAGCCATGTGCATTTGACCATATAAACAATATTTATTCAAATGAACTCCAGGAAGTAGAAATGAGGTGTTTTTTTTTCCTTTGTTGCCATTTTCAATTTTTATTTTCGTTTGTCTTGTTTGTTTATCTGTCTTTGGGAGGGTATGGGGAGCACAGGAATGGAGGAACAAAGTGGGAACAAATGCGGCAGTGATGCTCACTAGACAGTATGCTGAAAATGAGCTATAAAACTAGTGGGTGAGAGAAAACCGGAAGTGGCAATGTGACTCAAGTGGTAGAGCACTTGCCTTGAGCTGAAGAGCTCAGGGACAGTTCCCAAGCCCAGAATTCAAACTAAAAAAAAAAGAAAACTTGTGGGTGGGGACCAGAGGAAAAAAATGGGAGAGAGGAAGGGATGAGATTGTCCAAAAAGAAATGTGCTATTTACCTGACATGTAACTATAACCTCTTTGAACACCACTTTTACAATAACAAAAAAATGCAATAAAAAAAGAAGAGCAGAGATGAAGTTTCCCAGGGTAAAGAAAAAGAAAGAAAGGAATTTTAAAATGCAGAGGGAAAAACCTTCACCCACACATGCAAAGTGTGTTTGGCACTATTTAGTAGAGTGAGATGTAAACAAATGTATCCTGAAATAAATGTATTCATTAAACATACTGTAGTAATACAGTACTAATGTTTTCATAGCTACTTCCTGTTCTACTCTGGTCAATTCAAGAATTGCAAGTATCCACTTCAAATACTGTGAAACACTAATCATCTCCAGATGAGCAGTTATTCTCCCCAGAAAATTGTGTTATCACAGTAAAAAGGTGATCTTTTAGTTCCCAAATAGTTTTTACATTATATATGTGTTAATCATTTTTATATTATTGGTAAGGTTTCAGTCAGCTTCAGGCTATTAACAGTTTAGTTATGGGAGTTAGGAGAATTGACAGTAAAGTGGTTCAGGTCCCATAACCACCATGTTGTTCAAGGGTCAACTTATTTAACTCGAGTTTAGGTCTAAAAATGGGTAAGGGCAAGGGTGGGAAGGGATAAGCTGAATAAAATCCTCAGAACAGTAAAATACGGGAGAGTAAAATGAGCAGAAGTTAATAGCTATGAAAAAAAGGTTTAACAGAGCCAAAATAAATTTTAAAAATTCTAAAGCTGATTCTTTGAAAATATAATAGGTTATAAAAATTGCTCCAGGCTACATGGCTAATACAGATAAAATCAAGCCATCTATCTCCACAGTCTGTGGGGATTTTCTGGTTGGGTTTTGTTGTTGTTGTTTGTTATTGTTACCAGTATGAAGGTTTTAATTCAAGGTTTCTTGCTTGCTTGCACAACTAGTACTTTACCACATGAGCCACTTCTACCATTCTAGCTGGCTTGTTTTGCTGATTATTTTGCTTCAAGCCACAATCCTTCAGATCTCAGCCTCTTGAATAGCCAAGATCACAGGGTTGAGCCACTGGCACCTGGTCTCCATGGACTATATTTTTAACTACTATATAATACTACCTCCAAAAATAAGTATGAAAGATAAGGTTCCTATATTTATCTATATTCATCTTAGTGAAGCCCATGTATCAGAAATACAATAAGACAATATGCATAAAGCCCAAATAACTGAAAAAAGATCAGCATTAAGAATATACTTAAAAACTCCTACAATTTACTAGGAAGACAACAACCCAAAAGACGAATAGGAAAATATTACAAGTCTTTCTCAGAAGAGAAACCATGAGTAGTTCAGAAACATAAGAGGATTAGTCTCATAGGTAATCAGGTATTTAAAATAAAAATACAACTGATGATAATTTTATGTGAATTAAATTGACAAAAACGTTTTCTCTGGTGGCAAACACAACTATAAAAATGTTTATACACTGCTAATAGGAAGCGACTGGTACCACTTTCTAGAAAAATAACCGGCCACTGTGGCATAAAATGTCAAAATTCAAATATGTTATGACACAGAAATCTCACCCTTAGCTAAGTGTCACAAAGAAATTTTTGAACATATATATCCTGACATATGTATATACATACACATAACACACACATCAATGATAAGAATGAAAAACTAAATCTATGTGTGTCAATCAAGAGAAAACTGGAAAAACAGATTGTGGTATATTCACAGTGGAATATTATCTATAAATTAATTTTTTTGTCAGTCGTGGGACCTGAACTCTGGGCCTGGGCTCTGTCCCTCAGCTCTTCAGCTCAAGGCTAGCACTCTACCACTTGAGCCACAGCGGCACTTCTGGCTTTTTCTGCCTATATGGTGCTGAGGAATCAAACCCAGGTGCTTCATGTATGCAAGGCAAGCACTTTACCACTGTCACCTTCCCAGACTCTTATAAATTAAAATTATGATAATATGTAAGGATGATGCTTTGAAACATAATATTGAATGCAAAAGTCAACTTAAGGTATCTTTGTCAAATGCATGATTAACTAAGAAACAGAGGTGCAATCGCATAGGTAATCAAGGAAACAGGACAAAAATATAATGCAATGATATTCCATGTGAGTGTACTGACATGGATTTTTTAAATGCTGACAAATTTGTGGAGCTCTGGAAATTGTTATATTTGTCACAAAGCCAAATAAGCCAAATAGAATACATTATTTATATGAATAATTAAGAAGGTAAGTAGCTTATTCTTTTTAAAAAAAATAGAACAAAGTGTGTTTCCATATATTAAACCGTTAATATTTTTGTTCTAATTGTCATGTTTTACTTAGGTATCCCCTTTAGAAAGGACCAGAAAATCTATATGAAACTTACCTACAGAAACATTGAGGAAGTTCCCCTTGGCCATATAAGGGAAACAAAAATGGAGTGTTGCCATATCGCCCAAGACAGTGAAGAAAGTTCTTGGTAGCTTTGAGACCATCAGTGGTGCTGCTGCTTGACTCTGATGACATTGCAATTGAATGCAGGACAAAATATTGCAGGTTGGGTGTTAATTTTTGAGTTTTTAAATATTGAGAAAATGTAATCTCCTCATAGCCTATAAAATAGGAAAATTATTAATTAAAATGAGAAGTAGTTTTTTATTTAAGATCCCACCTACATGAAAATGATCAAGTCTGTTTAAGACTTCACAACGGTAAAAAAATAATAATAATAAATAAATAAATAAAAATTTAAAAAAAGACTTCACAAAGGATTGTGATTGATATTATTATTATATTTTCCACAGTGACTATTGATCTCAACGGGGAAAAGAAAAGAATTTTAGCTGGGTGCTGGTGGGTCATGCCTATAATCCTAGCTACTCAGGAGGTTGAGATCTGAGGATCATGATTTGAAGCCAGCCCCGACAGGAAAATCCGTGACACTCTTATCTCCAATGAACCACAAGAAATCCAGAAGTGGCACTATAGCTCATGTGGTAGAGTGCTAGCCTTGAGTTGAAGAGCTCAAGGACAACGTCAAGGCCCAAAGTTCAAGCCCCACAACCAATTATAAAAAAAAAAAAGAATTTCACTATCCTTATTGCATTGACAATACAGTTTTTAAGCTTTAAATAATGAATCTTTATTATTTTATGGATTTAAAAAAGAAAATCAGCCAGGTGCAAGTGGCTCTGGCCCGTAGTAGGAGCTATTCAGGTGGCTGAGATCTGAGGATTGTGGTTTGAAGCCAGACCAAGCAGAAAAATCTGTAAGATCAAAAATCTGTAAGATCCTTATCTTAAATCACCAAAAAGCCAGGAGTGGAGCTGTGCTCAAGTGGTAGAACATCAACCTTGAGCAAAAAATCTCAGGGACAGTGCTCAGGGTTTAGTTCAAGCCCCATGTCCCTCTCTCTCTCTCTCTCTCTCTCTGTATGTCTCTCTCTAACACACACACACAGAGAGAAAAAAAATCTCATTTCATTTCATTTAAACTTCAATGCTGACAATGATTACATTTGGAAATATTAAATAAAGTAAAATGAATACTTGCTGATAAAAATGATAGAGTAGTAGATAACTTTTGGTAAACACTTCTTACTAGAACTGAGTAGAACAATGAACTATGATGAAAAAAGCAATAAAACTAATTTCAGGCTAGAGAAATTAGTTATTATGCATCAAAAATAAGGGACCCAGACAGGAGCCTGTGACCACACCTACATTGGTAGCTACTCAGGAGACTGAGACCTGGAGGATCTCGGTTCAAAGGCAGCCCAGGAATAAAAGTCTGTAAAGATAAATCTCCAGTTAACCACCAAAAAAACAGGGCTGGAGGTATAGTTCAAGTAGAAGAATGTCAGCTTTCAGCAAACAAGTCAAGTAAGAAGACAAGTCCCAAAGTACAAATACACACACACACACACACACACACACACACACACACAGGACCCTAAAAATTAATTCCTTAAATCAAGAACAGAAAACAGTGAAACTGGACAATTAGTGGAATCAAATACAACCCATGACAAAAGACAAAACTTTATGGAAATAATTTAAATAAAAATTTCAAAAACATTACTGAAAGGATGCAAGTTTATAGAGCCATTGAGAGAACAATCTGGCAGTAGCCAGTGGACTTAATTTTTTTGTTACTGTTTTTGTTGTTTGTTGGTTTTCTGGTCTTGAGTCTTGAACTCTGGGCCTGGCCACTGTCCCTGAGCTTTTGTGTTCAAGGCTAGTGTTCTATCACTTGAAACACAGCACTACTTCCAAATTTTTGTGGTTAGAGATAAGATTCTCCCAATCTTTTCTGCAGAGGCTGGCTTCAAACTGTGATCTTAAGATCTCAGCCTCCTGAGTAGCTAGGATTATAAGCGTAGCCAACTTGGACGTGAATTTTTAAGAACAATTGTAGTTTTATTATTCCATCAAAAATTTTCATAATGGGGGCTGGGAAGGTGGCTCAGTGGTAGAGTGCTTGCCTTGCATTCATGAGGTCCTGGGTTCGATTCCTCAGCACCACATAAGCAAAAAGAAAAAAAGCTGGAAGTGGCATTATGGCTCAAGAGGTAGAGCGCTAGCCTAGAGCTGAAGAGCTGAGGGACAGCACCCAGGCCAAGAGTTCAGGCCCCACGATCGGACCCAAAAAAAAAAAATTTCATAATGATATTATTTTTCTTAATATCATCAACCCAATGCACTTGAAGTACATAGATCTGATGTTAAAATGATACATTCAATTTTAACAAAATCTGAACTTGGCCACCAGATCACACAGTGACATGGCTCAAATCCAATATTAGAAAAAAAAGTCTTCTCCAAATCCAATGGTTTTCCCTATGCATCATTTACCCTTATTTTTCTTTTCTTTTTTTTTTTTTTTTTGGGGGGGGGGGGACAGGTCCAGTCGTGAGGCCTGAACTCTGGGCCTGGGCACTGTCCCTCAGCTCTTCAGCTCAAGGCTGGCACTCTACCACTTGAGCCACAGTGCCACTTCTGGCTTTTTTCTTTTTGCTTATGTGGTGCTGAAGAATCGAACCCAGGGCCTCATGCATGCAAGGCAAGCGCTCTACCACTGAGGGACCTTATTATTCTTTTAATGGTTAATCAAAATGAATAGTTCAAGATTCTAAGTAAGATCAGTCCTGAAAATGACAATCTATAAAAGGTTATTGTTGATGAGAAAAAAGAATGTAACAACCAAAGAAGAATATTATCCTATCAGAAACCAGTTGAAAACAATATTCTATAATCAAATATTAAAATTAAAATATAGTCCAGTATTTGTTTGATACTGAAGGTATGTGCACTACGGCCGCTAGCCACATACGGCTATTGAGTACCATGAAATGCCTAGTGAGACCAAGGAATTGAACTTCTAATTTCATATATGTCTAACAAATTTAAATAGCTACATGTTCTTAATGGCTTTAACTATGAGATACTGATAAGTCAGAATATTATTTTAAAGAAAGAAGTGGCTAGCTGGGTGCTGGTGGCTCATACCTGTCATCCTAGATACTCAGGAGTCTGAGATCTGTAGATCATGGTTTGAAGCCATTCCATGCAGGAACGTTTGTGAGACTCTTATCTCCAATTAACCACTCACCAGAAAACTGGAAGTGGAGCTGTGGCTCAAAGTGGTAGAATACTATCCTTGAGAAAAAAAGCTCAGGGACAGTATTTGGGCCCTGAGTTCAACTGACAAAAAAAAAGTGGCTAATCAAATAAAAGCCAATATAAAGCAATTTAAAGCTCATAAAACTGGAGAACATAATTAAAGCAAAACAATACCTTTATATTTGTCAGGATGTTCTTCATATTCCATACAAAATGTAAGAAATTTCATGAGCATTCGTTTTTCTACCATAGTAAGTTGTTTGCTATTAAAGACATCTGCTCTGGAACAAGGAACCTGGGAAACAGTATAATAATCTGTTACACAAATTGTTATAAAATTGCTTCCTAATGGTACAAATATCCCAAGTTAGTTTATCCCCTTTACATATAGGAGGATTATTATTTTCATTTTAGTCTGCCCAATTACATCACCTTCCATCAGTCCTAATAGTATCTATGTTGACTTCAGAGCTAGTTAGCTTGCAAGCTTTCTTACTTCATTCTGCCAACTTGTTCTTCATGCTATTAAAAAGTCAATGATATATCGCTCTTAACAGGGAACAAATGACAGTTCAAACCTAGCAGCCTGCCTGAAACTTTCCCAACACTCAAATCAAGCTGTGGAATAACCCATCAGAAAATTCATAATAAATTGCAAATGAGCAAATTTCACCATTTATTTTTGTAAAACATCATACAAGACTAGAATCTGCTGCATTTCTAGGAAAATGTCAATTCTACTTGTTTATCCTTCCAAAATGAACTGTAATAACTTAATCTTATTCTCAGTTACATACTTGATCAATATAGTACCTGTTCTACTCGTCCTTCTCGAAATGCAAGAATCCTGGTAATATTTTTAAACTCTGCATATCGACTGACATTAGATTTGATTAGCAGATCAATTAGCAGTCCCCGAGAATACAGCAACTACACAAAGAGAAAGTATAAAAAGTAAGACCAAAAGCAAAATAATGGACAAATGATAAATAGCAACTATTAGTTTGCTGGATTTTTAACTTATTTGTAAAAAGAACTACACATATAAATGCTATAATATGAAATAATTTACTGCATATTCACAGCTCATTTTCGGAAAATCAAAATATTTTTTAAAAATCAACAGTTTTTCTTAACTCATTTGGTAGCAAAGCCTGATTCAAATGATAAATAGTTCTTCTGTCAAATGTTAATTGCCTAGTTACAGAGTATCTTCTCCCATATGCTAAGATGTTAGATAATACACAGGATCTCAACATATTCATTTTATTATCTCCCCCAAGTTATTTTTAAAATCTCAATGACTGGCCTGGTGCAGTGGCTTACTTCTATAATCCTAACTATTCACAAGACTGACTTCAAGACAGTTATGGTTTGAAGTCAGCCTGAGTAGAAAACTCCATAAGACTCTGTTAACCAGCAAAATGCTGGGCTGAAGGTGTAGCTCAAGTGATGAGTGCCAGCCATGAGGAAGGAAACTAAGCTCAAGGCAAAAAGAAATTATAATAACTTGAAAGACAGAACATACTAGCACGCAAGGGTTTGGGGAAGGAAACTGCAGATCTGTACAAGGCCATGTGCTTATAACAATGTCAGCTCAGAAAAAAAATCATAATGTATTTCCACCTAAGAGTCTATTTATAAGGTTACTTCTTGATCCTCAGTCCATGTGCACGAGATATGACTTTCTCAAGAAGTGAGACCTGTTATTGCTGGCATGAATGTGAGAGATTGAGTCAATCTTTCAACATCTCTCATAATTAATATTAAAGAGAAAAAAAAACACAAGAATTTAATCAATATTATGTAGCATGTTTTAAATTCAACCATACAGTTAAATGCAACAGATCTAGTAATTTCCTATAATCAAGACAATTTTAAGTATTGCTTATAACTAAATAAATATTAACATTTTAAATATTACATCTATAATAACTGGAAGAAATTTACTTTACCAAAGAAAAAGGGAATCTCTAAAATGAACCTAAATCATTATTTTGAGCATCCAAGTAAACAGTAAAGATTTTCTGTAAATCAATATCAGATAAGCAAATTTTCATAAACTATATTAGTTCAGTAATTTTCAATACAAACAAAATCAATGTCATTTTCAACTTTTATCTTTTTTTTTTTTTTTGCAGTAGTGGGGCTGGAACTCAGGGCCAGGACATTTCTGCTCAAGACAAATACTCTACCACTTTGAGCCACAGCTCCACTTTTCTGGTAATTAACTGGAGATAATAGACTCACAGACTTTCCTGTCCAGGCTGGCTTTGAACCATGAGCCTCAGATCTCAGCCTCCTGAGTAGCTTAGATTATAAGTGTGAGCCACCAGTGCCTAGCTGACTGTCACCATTTTTCTCATCATCTTATTCCTGTGATCCTGAGATCCCAGCCTTCTGAGTAGCTAGTGTTACAGGAATGAGCCACTGGTTTCCAGCTTCAAAAAACACATTTTTTTTTTTGCTTAAAAAATAAGCATTTGTGGAGGAGGGACATACAAAGCAACAAAGAGATAATCTTATAAATGTGTTAGAAACGTACGCATTATCCTGCCCATGTAACTGTAACTCCTCTGTACAGTATGTTCACAAATAAAATTAAATTAAAAAAAAAAAATAAGCATTTGGGGACTGGGAAGGTGGCTCAGTGGTAGAGTACTTGCTTCTCATGCATGAAGCCCTGGGTTCGATTCCTCAGCACCATATAAACAGAAAAAGCCAGAAGTGGTGCTGTGACTCAAGTGGTAGAGAGCTAGCCATGAGCTGAAGAGCTGAGAGACAGCACCCAGGCCTAGAGTTCAAGCCCCACAACTGGCCAAAAAAAAATGCATTTTTAAGGTTCAAGGACAATACTAATATATAAAACATAAAAATGTATTAAGATCTAATACAGCTTAAGATTTAATGCTTATTTTTAAACTAATGTACTTAAAGGATTATAGAAGAATAAAAATAAATTTCAATGAAAACTATCCCACAGTTTTATTGCTGAAGCTCAGAAACAATAAATGTGTACATTATTTAAATCTCAGCCTCTTTCTCATCACCCTCTTTCTGGTCTAAGTGATATGCCATAGCAATTTCCCAGTAGTAAGACCCTAAAAATCATTTTAGTTTAATTAAATAATAGGACTGAACTTTAATAATTAACAAGTTTTGTTTTTCTTAACATGTTAGTCCCATAATTAATAAAGGTATAGATTTGCTTAGAAATTCATTTTAGTTTGGAGAATTTCATCTTTGACTTTTCTTGATTAGTCTAAGCAGTATAATGTTATATATCTTTTATATATTTTTTAAATAAATGAACCTAGCCCGAGAACAGCTAAAAAGGCTATCTTTATACATGGCTGTGTATAAAACGGGTAAAATCAATAGTTACCTTTGATACCAAATCAATATTAAATCTCCTGCCTTCTTTAATAATTTGAGAATAAGTAATTCTGTTTTTCTTTGGTTGCTCTGCTATATCCTCCACTATAGGGACATTTTCACTTGTTTCCTCTTCGGAAATTTTATCATCACTATGGTTTTCTTTCTCCCCTGCCACTTGAGCATCATTTACTTCTTGGGCACTCTCTGGGTCACTGCTTGGGGTTGATTCTAGAGCCACTCCACAGCCTGCAGCATTTAATGAGTCATCTTCAGTAGGCTGGCAGACAGAAGATACAGTTTCTGTGAAGTTTGTAGATGCCACAGAGGAATGATTTTTCTGCAGTGCACCAGCTTCTTCAACATCTTCATTCGAATCCTGACTAATAAGAAATGACAGTAATAATCAGCATCATGCTTTACAGCTCTGCTATAATTATCACATCGCTTTAACTTTTCCTGGCAAATTTGATTCCTTTATCTCCTTTATAAAGTCCAGTAATTATTTTGCCATCTCTTATCTAAGCATTAAACACTCACCTGTTAAAGTTTCAGTATAAATATGAGAGATATTTAATATTGAACCACACATTTTAAGTTTAAGAAGACACATGTACATTTTTGAGAATCTGAGAGACAGAAGATTGTGTTTTAAGCTGGGCACCAGTGGCTCATGCCTGTAATCCCAGCTACTCAGGAGGCTGAGATCTGAGGATCGTGGTTCAAAGCCAGCCCGGGCAGGAAAGACCCTGAGACTCCTATCTCCAATAAACTACCAGAAAACCAGAAGCGGCACTGTAGCTCAAGTGGTAGTGTGCTCGCCTTGAGCTGAAGAGCTGAGGGACAGCACCCCAGGCCGAGTTCAAGCCACACGACCGACAAAAAAAAAAAAAAAGATGTGTTTTAGAAGTAAATTAATAATAACATGAACCTCAGAATTAATAGAACTGAGTTCAAACACTGACTGAGGATCAGTGGTTCTGTAAACTTGGACTAGTTACTTATTTTCTCTGAGACCTAAACTTTCAAGGTTGATCTAAAGATTAAATGAAGTAAAGAACGTGGTACAATGACAGGAGAACGTGGTATAATGACTGGAGCATAGTAAACGTTCAACAGTATTTATCTCAGATGATTAGTAGAGAGTATCTCTTGACTTGGTATTATATAACGCAGGTACCTTCCATAAAATGAGGGGGGGGGGGCTTCTACAAAAAGGTTAAGTTGTCCTGTCACAATCTGATATGTAAAAAGATCATGTATTCATTCCTCCTATGTATTGTTTTAGTAATACTGTCTATTATTCCACTGGAAGCCACATTTCCAAAATTATTACTAGAAGTAACACTCAGCTCATCACTAACTTGAGTAATAACAACTACCTCCTAGGCAGTTTGCCTGCATCATAAATTAATTAATGCTCTGCAGAATCCACTATTTTTTACTGAAATTTTGTACTCTTCTATACCTGGTCCAATAAAGACTTTGAATTTTACAGGTTGTGGGAAATAAATATCTGCTAATTGATTACTCAAAGAATTAACAGTAGTTCTTTCTTTCATCAAATCTAAACCTTACTTTCCAATAACTTGCCTCTTCCTGTCTCTAAAGCAAAGTCCATTAATCCTACTGTAAATTGTTGGTGAGAGTGTGAACTTGTTGAACCACTTTGGAAAGCAATATGAAGGTTCCTCAAAAGACTCCACATAGAGCTCCTCTATGACCCAGCAATCCCACTTTTGGGCATTTACCCAAATGATCACAAACAAGACCATACTAAAGCTACCAGAACAACTATGTTTATGGCAGCTTTATTTACCATAGCTAAGATATAGAACAAATCCAGATGCCCCTCAGTAGATGAATAGATCAAGAAAATGTGGTATATATACACAATGGAATTCTATGCCTCCATAAGAAAGAATGACATTTCCCCATTTGTTGGGAAATGAAAAGACCTGGAAAAAATTATGTTAAGTGAAGTAAGCCAGGCCCCCCAAAAACATAGATCCCATGGTTTCCCTTATTTGCAACAACTGGTACATGTCCAGGACAAGCAGAAAAGGTCAAAAGCTATGTATACATATGACCATATAAGATGATGTTAAGCAAAATGAACACCAAGATAGGGACACAATTTTTTTTCTTTCTTGCTATTGTTTCTAACATATTTATAATGTACCATGTGATTTTTTGTTTCTTTGTATGTTCCTCTCCCACAGTAACCCCTATTTTCACTGTATTTGATATCAATGCCCTGTATCCTGTATATATACTTCTCTAATTCGGGGAGGGAAAGAAAAAAAAACCAAAATGCTTAAATAGGGATACAGGTTGACCCACTGGAACAATGAGATATACAAGACACTATGTTGAAAGGGAACTTTACAACTTTGGAGGGGAAGGGAGGAAGGGGGAGGGAGTAGTTGTGGAGGTGGGAGGGAAGGGATGGTAGGGGAACAACAAAAGAAGAGGCAAAAAAGCTTGATAGGAAATGTACTTATTACCTTGCTCATATAACTGTAGCCCCTCTGTACAGTATTTTTACAATAAAAAACACACAAAAAATAAAGCAAAGTCCCTTGTATATTAATTTTCTGGTCTCATCTCCACCTATTTTGCAACATGGCATGTTGCAAAGTGTATGTTATCAAATGTCATCTCCACCTTTTTCACCAATTTTATTTAATCACTTTTTGGGGGCTATGCTTGCATTCCCCAAAATATCATAGATACAACATTCTCAAACATAACCATAAACCTACATATCCTCAAAAAATTTCATTAATCCAGTGACATCCATCACTGTTATTCCATGCATACATGACACGCATATGCACATACCTTACATTTAACAATTCCCTTCAAATAGTTCTCTGGTTGTTCAGTTACGTATCCCTCACCCAAAAATCCAAAATCTGAACATTTAAAAATTCCAAAACAGGGCTGAGAAGGTGGCTCAGTGGTACAGAGCTTGCCTTGCATACATGAGGCCCTGGGTTCGATTCCTCAGCACCCATAAGCAGGAAAAAAAAGCCATAAGTGGTGCTATGGCTCTAGTGGTAGCGTGCTAGCCTTGAGCTGAAGAGCTGAGGGACAGCGCCCAGTCCCAGAGTTCACGCCCCACACTGGACCCAAAAATACATAAATAAATAAAAATTCCAAAACATTTTGAGCATCTTGTCATCTTGTCATTGCCCCAAGCAAAATGGATTTTGAAGCATATTGAATTAGGGATATTCATTTATAAATCTCTATGACAAAAAAAAAAAACTCTATGACAATACTACACAGTTCAAAACAATTTAAAATCTGAAGCACTTCTGCTGTCAGTAAATTCAAAGTGGGGGAGACACAGACAGAGAGGGGGAGGGGGGAGGAAATAGAGAAAGAGAGAGGAGAGAGAGAGAGAGAATGTGTATATGTGTTTGCTGGCATTGAGACTTGATCTCAGGGTCTCTCACTATCACTTGGATCTGGTTTTTTGCTGGGTAATTGGAGATAAGAGTCTCTAGAATCTGTTTTCTCAGCTGGCCTGGAACCTCCTTAATCCTCAGGTCTCAGACTTCTGTAAATAGCTAGGTCTATAGGGGTGAGTCACCTGCCCCTAACCCAGAAGGTATTCTTAGCCAACACATAGTGTATCTTCAGTACTTTCCTAAGATAAAACATTAACACCTCTTTTTGTGTGCTCTTTCCCTCTACAGACTTTATGTCTATTAAATGCTTGATGAAAAATTGGTTTGTAAAGGCTACAAGAAACGTGTGTGTTTGTTGGGGGGGGGGGGGGTTCTTGTGTGCCAGTAGGAGCTTGAACTCAGGATTTGGGCGCTGTCCCTCAGCTTTTTCTCTCAAGGATATTACTCTACCACTTGAGCCACAGCTTTTTTGGTGAGTAATTGCTGATAAAAGTCTTACGTACTTTTTCTACCCAGGCTGAACCTTAATCCTCAGATCTCAGCTTCCTGAATTGTTAGAATACAATTGTAAAATACTGGTACCCAGCAAAAAGATATTTTTAATATGAAACAAATTTATTTGTTGAAAACACAGCAAATTAGGCCAAAATAAAACAATGTTCTATAAATTGAAACAGTTGGATGAAAAACTGAAATGAGTTACTGAAATTAATACAGTACATACTACAAAAAAGACCATAAAAGAGTAAAATAACATTGAGATGTCAAGAAATAGCTTCATATTTGCTATTATAATCTAATAATTTTAATGAAATCAAATGAAAAGAGGAACTGATATAATTAATGGTGAATCAAGACATCTAAACTAGGATACTGCAGTAGGGAAGGCACCCAAAATTTAGTCCTCACTGAATACTTAGGAAATGGTAGGCAAGTTACTTAATATTCTCAGTCTCCCCCTAATGAAATGGTAATAAGTCCCTGTGCCTTACTATGAGACTTGGAAGATAAATCAGTTCAGTTATAAAATGAAAAACACTTTATAATCTCTAAAAGGCTAAACAAATATAAGCTATAGAAGAAATCTAAGTTATTTCTAAATTGCCTGAAGGACAACAGACAACTCAAAACCTATGAACCTAAGGTTGTCCACATTCACACGGAAGTTCTTAGACACATAAACACACAAGAGAACCACTGCCATTTACAACATTGAAAATGAAAACCAATCCTGTGAAGTGTAGTCTGTATAATTCCCACATTTCAAGTGGTGTACTAACTTTCATTACTTTGAAAAACCAATAAAACTTAAATGTGTTCCATGAGACAGGGATCAAGGGTGACAACTTTCTGCAAAAATTCTATGCCTACACATTAAATGAAGAAATGACAGAACAATTAATTCACTTCACAGATTATCCAGATGTGGCAATGTCTCATACTAGAGACCATGATAATGACACCGTGGAAATTAAGCACAGAAAGTGATCTATGAAGTGGAAAGGGGTTTTGTGGAATAAATGTCAGACAATCTGAAATACAGAAATAAAAATCCCTAAAAAAAAAGTACAATCAAAGTTTAGTCAAGTAGAAGATGCTGGGAGAAAATAAACAGATAAAGAAAGATATTATTCCCTTACAATTTGTTCTACATTCATAGATTATTAAGTTTTACTGTTTTCAAAATCCTAACTTGGCCAAATTCCTAGCACTACAGAAAACACAAGTAACAGAAACATAATATTGTCCTACTTTCTACTAACCACCATGATGTTTTTGGAGTTCTGCCAAGGTTTAAGTTTATACCCAAAAAAGAAGTTATAAAAAGATACCAGAAAGTCCTAAAACCCTACATAATTGCTAAGTAAACAAAATTCTGCTAGTGAAAAGGTTCTCTTCCCCTACATTTTAAACCTTATATTGTGGCAAATGTTTTCTTTAAAGATATTCAACTATCAAAGAAA